CTGTTTAACTTATATTTAGGTAAATTTATTACATTTTATCTGCAATTACATCTTTACACACCCGTAGTATAAATTAATCTTCTTTTTATTCATACTTGTGCATAGATATTATAAAATAAATTTAATCAAACAATATTAATAATGTGATTTGTTATTTGTGAAATATGAGACTAAATTGTAGTCAAGTTTTGCCCCCACTCGCTAAATTTTCTGGATACGCCACTGGCTGAAACACTTAAATGATAATACATTGAAAATTTTCAAAATAAGCAAAAAATAAAATATACTACGTAAGAGTTTTCCCCTAAATTTGTTCTCGATGAGGCTTTGAAACAAAAAAATCGTCAACAATAAAGTCTACATCTATACTAAGAGTAAAGTCTTTTTATACCAAGAGTAATGTCTTCTTCAATATAAAGTGTCATGCAATCAGCAAGAAAGCCATCATCGATTTTGTTGTCGAGTGTTGTCTTTAGAAGTTTCATGAGAGAAATGATTGTTCTGCTATTGCAGTAGAAACACTAAGATCAATAGAAGGCCAATCAATTTGCTTATCATAACATATGAATCAGATGTTCTGCTCTTAGTCAACTCCTCACATAATTCAACAAGTGTACATATTTGAAACTTTGTATGACTAATCGCATCATGAACATAGTGTTGCAACTCGAATTCCAAAGCACAAATATATATCCTGACTACTAAAATCTTCTGGATAAAACTTCCTTGCAAGAGTACAAATAACATCGGCATTGAACGACTCATATGAATTTTGGGATCCAATGAAACATTCAAAGAAAGGAGTTCCACTGATTTATCATTAAATCGTGTCCTTAACTTCATCAATACAAAGTTTAATGCCTCATTGCAAACATCAAAGTGATCGATAAAGATGCTCAACTGTAGTTTCTTTTCGGCAATGACCAACCATATATTTAGAATTCAACTCTAGTACATGAATTTTGTGTTTTGAGTAAAACTCTTTTACTTCTTTAAGAAAGCCTCTCCATCCATTTTCTGTCAATTCCCCGAGAATGAGGTGTAGTAGAATCATGTCTCATGGATACCAAGATATCCAATTTTTTTTGGAGGCCTTACAAAGATACTCATTATTCCCATAACTTTGAGCATCAAAAGTAACGATATTTTTACTTAGACTGTAATTTGTCCCAGACCAGACCAGACTTGGGTAGTTATAAAAATGCAAAGAAATCAGACCAGACCTTATAAGACCAGACCAGCAAATTACAGTCCAAGTAAAAACATCCTTAATTGAACACAAATAAAAACATGGAAATTAAAGTGTCTATATACACTACGAACTTCTGCCTGAGAACTCACTTTTGGGCAAATTTCCTGAAGATACTCAAGCACTTTACAAGCTGTTGTGAACATGTCAATCAAGCTCTTAATTGAATCATATTTTATTGTATTTATTATATTTATGGCTTATGGGCTTTATGGCCCCTTCTACATATATATTAAGTGCCACTTATTAAGTGAGGGGTGATACATATAACATTTAGATTAGATTTTTAGATGGTAAAATTTTGTTTTATGGGACTAAGCTGAAAATTTTGACTGGGCTATAGAAAAATAGGGGTGGGCTGGATGGATTTTTTTTAAAATAATACCTTTAAAAAAAAATCTACTTTGCCCTGGGCTTCAGCCCACCATAGCCCTAACGTAGATCCTCCCCTGGATATACGTATGTTTTAGGAGTGTTTGGAAGCTGTTCTGATTATTTTTAAAAAGTAGAAGCAAAATAAGAATCAATTTTTTTATTGCGAGAAAGCGGTCTAGCCCAACTGGTTGTTGACTCACTCTCCTTTATGAGAGGTCTCGTATTCGAAACTCAATGCAGTGAATTTTAACTCTGATTACTCCAGCCCCAGACCCCAAGCCCCCGAGTAATAAAAAAGAAATAAGGATCAATTTTTTAAAGAGTGATTTACCTAAATAGGACTAAAACAAGGTAGAATTGTAAAAATAAGACTACTATGTTTTATTTTGCAAAAATAGGACTAAAAAGAGGCAATCTGACAAATCTGCCCTTAATTTAAAAGGCCCCTGCAATTATTCGCATCACCCCCGCGGCTCTCTGCAATTCATCGCAAACCATATCCGCCTCCCATGAACTGCTGCTCCATTCATCACAAATATATCGCATCACAATTTCATCGCCCTGCACTCATCCGCATCCAGGTAGGTCCTCACCCTCCCTCTCCCCTCCCTCCCCTCCCTCCCCTCTTCTTCTTCGAACATTATCTCCCAGATTCCTCTTCCTCATCTGATTTCTTCTTCTTCTTACTTTGTTTTGTAAAAAAAGGTCATCTTTGTCCTCAAAATGTCATGGAGATGACATTTCCATATATAAAAACATGTCAGTCATGAAAATGTCAAGTTGGTGTCATTTTTACTCTTTAGAAATGTCAAATAAAAACTGTCAACTTGGTAAATGTAATGTCAAGACAATGACACTTTTCCCAAATCAGCGTTGAATGACATAGCAATTATGCCATTTTTCAGTCCAATTGGTGAAATAGGTGGAAAATGTCAAGTTGGTGTCATTTTTACTCATTAGAAATGTGGGAAAAAATGTCATCTTGGTAAATGTAATGTCAAGGTAGTGACAATTTTTAATTTCAAAGTAAAACTGTCATTTACGTAGATGTAATGTCATAAAATTAACAGTCTTCAAATTATTGATAAAAATGACACCAGAAAATTCCTGGTTTATAAATAAAATTGAAATCAGAACACGATAATTGAAGAGGCTGAGAAGAAGAAGAGGAGGAAGAAGAAGAAGAAAAAGAAGAAGTGGAGGAGGAGGAGGAGGAGGAGGAGGAGGAGAAGGAAGAAGAGGAGGAGGAGGAGGAGGAGGAGGAGGAGGAGGGGGAAGAAGAAGAGAAGAGGAGGAGGAAGAAGAAGAAGAAGAAGAAGAAGAGTACATACCTGCGATATGGCGGAGGTGCGACGCTGCAAGAGTCATTGAAGAGGTGACGGCCGGCGAGCAAGCACATGATAGCAGATCAAGTGGCGAGCATCGGCGGCTGAGTGGATGCAGGTTTGTGATCGATGCAGAGGGTTTGGGGAACGGGTGATTTAGGGATTGGGGGTAAAAATGTAATGTAGAGTCCCATTTGGGCAATTTAAAACCTCAAGTCCTATTTTGGAGTTTTAACCATGTTTTAGTCCCATTTAGTATAATTTCTTTTTTAAAAAAATTAGTTCTAAAAAACTGTTTGTAGAAGTATTTTCACTATTTTGGGGCAAATTATACCGTGGGATCGGTATACCATGCACATGGTATACCCATCCCAAATACGGTGTCGTTTTTCATAATAAATGGAACGTGCACGACACACTTGCACTCCCCAGCGTCCTTTCTTGGTTTCTTTTTCGTTGCTCACTACTCTATTAATTTTTTATTATTATCAAAAGTGCTCTCTCTTATTTCTCTATTCGCACGTACACACTTCCTTCAATTCGTTCCACCATCGTTTCTTTCTTTTCTTTTTTCTTTTTTTGCTTTTTCTTTGTTTACTTTAATTTTTTATTATTAAAAGCAATCATGTTTCCAAATAGTTTTTTAAATTTAGCAATACTGATGTACGTATTAAAATTTTGTGATCAAATTTTCATCTTTTCAAAAAAATAATAATTATCTTTTCAAAATAAATTCATCTCTTCATACACTATTTTTCTTCTTTTTTGCTTCATCTTAAATTACAACCTAAAAGTAAATCATTTTCTCTTCAAAATAAGTATATTTATATTTTATACACTTGTGTGATTTATATTTCCACATATGTGAATTGTGTTCGTAAACAATTTCTAAAATTACATTTGCTAGTATATGGAGTTACATCTTTTTATTAATAAGTTACATCTTCTTGTGCATGAGTTACATCTCCCAATGCGCGACTTACATTTAGACTTGTCTCAACAAGTTATATTTTGCATACACCTAAATTAGATTTTCCATCAACGTGAGTTACATTTATTTATAACATGAGTTACATCATAAAATAAACTCCAGCTATTGAAACAAAAAATCATTTTTTGCAAAGAAAAATGATTTTTTTTGGCAAAAAAAACTGATTTTGTGGTAAATTTTTTATTTCTCTTTGAAGCATTTTATGGTCTTAATACTAAAAACAAAACATATTAACTATTTACGTGATTAATTTGAGCAATTAGACTCCTTGTTTTCATTAATTAGTTTTGATAATATATGGAGTTACATCTTCATATGCTCGAGTTACGTCTTTTATATGCGTGAGTTACATTTTCATACGCTCGAGTTACATTTAGATTTGCATTAATAAGTTACATTTTGTATACACCTAAGATAATTTTTCATCAACGCGGGTTACATTTTCCATCACAACATAAAGCCCTGATATTGAAACAAAAGAATCGTTTGTTTTCAAACATTTTTTTGGCAAAAAATGATTGCTTTGACAAAAAAATGATTTTAAAAAAATATTTTTATGACCTTAATATTAAAAAGAGGTCATATTCACTATTTAAGTAAACTCCTGCTATTGAAACAAACAAAAAGTCACTTTTTGCAAAAGAAAAATGAGTTTCTTTTTTTTTTTTTGCGAAAAAAATGAATTTGTGGCCCAAAAAATTGATTTTAAGAAAAAACATTATTTATAGCATTAATATTAAAAACACAACATTTTCACTCTTTACGTAAAGTAATTGAGCAATTAGAATCTTTGTTTCATTGAAATCAATGTTTTATTTCTTATAATCTGTATTAGACAAGTTACATTTCGACTTGCCTGCAGTTACATTTCATATTAACGGGAGTTACATATTTTTACACACGAATTACATCAGTCTGCTATTGTACAATGAAAAAACAAAAAAACAGAAGTTACTGTTCACCCGCGTGAACAGTAACACGCGTTTTTATGTGTGGGAGTAGCATGCTCACGGTGGGCTGCTCCCACGGTATACCAACTGCTATTTTGGAGCATTCCAAAATACTAAGCTAAAATAAAGCTTCATCTTCTTTAAAGGAAAGCTTTTTCCCGTACTCTTTGCAGCAGCAGCGAGGATGGGCTGTTTATCGTGGGTCTTGCCGAACCCACTCACCCAACCCGCAACACACTCCACACACAAACATTTGCGACATCAGCAAAACAACACCAATCCAGTCCCGGTCGCCGTCAATGGCCGGAATCCAGTTCTTTCACCTCCTTGCCTAGATGCCCCCAATTGGTTCTCTCAATCACCATCGCCGTCTTCACAGAAAAACCTAACCCTTCACAAATCCTTTGTTTGCGCGACACTTGCCGTTTTGCTATCCTCCCCTTCAGGTAACCATTTTTTGCAATCTCCTCAACTTTTCACCTTCAATTTCACCATTATCCGAATTTAAACTTCTAATTCTTGGTAGTATGACTATAGTTTTGTCCATGAATTTACCTTCACTTATCTTAAGTGCCTGCCTGGCGCCTAACAGGAGTGACAGGGCGTACTTTTGAATTAATGAAATGTATAAATTTGTACTAAAACTATACCTATTTGAATATGAATAAAGTACTAAAACTATACCTATTTGAATATGAATAAAGGTCTACCAAAGTAAACCTAAATCCTGCTAAAGTGTGTTGCTTTCTCTAAATCTAGCAATTATAAAGCTTTTCCATATTTTTCAAAAAATGAGCTAGGTTCTGTGGGTTAGACATTTTTCCACTTTTAAATACCCAGAAAAGTGAGAACTTTCTTGGATAGCACAAGTGATTGTTATGGTTAGAACCATAAGCGGAAGCTAACTAGTAATGACCAATTTAACCTCTGGTGGGTGAAACAGCTAATGCAGGGTTACTGTCTGGCTCGAGCGGGATAGAATCAATCCCTGGTCCAGAATTACCTCAAATCGACTTTCTCAATCGCTGGAATGGTATGTTGTTTAGAAACTGTATGACTTTAATTGTTGTGACTTGTCTTTATTATTTGTTTATTTATCTATTTATTTATTACATTATTGTGATTGTATGAGATTTTTTTTCCTTTTTAAATCAATCCAGAAGGAAATCAGAAAAAGTATGCAGATTTAGACGCCAAATTCCAAGAGTCTCCCTTGCTTAAACAGTTTATCGAGAAGTCCAAGCTGAATAAAGAGAAGTAATCTTCTTTCCTTGCCTAATTTATATTTTTTTCTAAATCGTTTAGACAAAAAAACCATGCTGGTGAATGTAAAACCATGCTAATGAAATTAGTCATGTAGGGCTGCTTTTAGTTCAAGTAATCTCACATTACCTTGGCAATGTGAGATTTCCCTGTTTGGTCCAGATTTTATTACTATCAGAGTAATCTAAGATTAAGTCCATGTAGAAAAATGAGGTAATGTTAGTGCTAACATGATTACCTTTAGTTTCTTAGGTATGGTAAGATTAACTTGGTAATATTTTAGATCATTCCAACTTTGTCCCTAACAACTTAATTACACAAGTTCACATTCCGCATTGCAAACAGCCTAAGGTAACCTTACATTTTCTGTAATCTTAAATTACTTTACCTTGCAAGAGGTAATCATACAACCGAAGATAATATCACATTTTTTAACCTAACACTCCTTAGAGTATGGAGAGTTAAGATAAAAGGTCATCAATTATTCAATTGTTACTATACTTCTCTTATACGCTTGCCTTTATGGCTTTGTGTACTATCCTGCATAGATTAGCTGCATTGAGGGAATATCCTGCATAGATTAGCTGCATTGAGGGAATATCCTGCATAGATTAGCTGCATTGAGGGAATATCCTGCATAGATTAGCATTAGCTGCATAGAGGGGATGAATGCAAAATTTTAATAGCCTGCCTAGAAGCAAATTGATCTAGGTGCGCTTAGCAGGTGCCAGTTGGTAGAACAATGGACAGGGTTAGGTGGAGTCTTTCAGGGCCAGTTCTAGCTAAATTACGTATTTGCCATTTTGGTAATGTTGGTGGATTCAGGAATCGACAGGCGATACAAGACAAGTATTGTCTCCGTGGTGCCGAGTGGGGAGTGGGGGATTGCTCTACACAAGGAATGTCGCCCGAAGACAGGGAAAACTTCATTTCCGCATTGAAGCAGAAGGTGGGAGTAGTTGACTAATGGCAGCAGTATTACCTTTTTCCCTCCAAAGTCTTTTGGGAATTACCTAAGGTATTTACTCTTGCATTTGTGAAATAGGTTATTCCTTCTTTATTCTTTTGAGAATCACCACACTTTCAACTTTCCCCAAAATCTTTTGGGAATAATGTTTGGATGTTGATGTTGTTGAACCACACTTTCAATTTTTATGTTTTCCACCTTTATTTGCAGTGAATCCCTTGATCCAAAAATGGGGCAAAGCTTGCTAAGCCTTGATGATATGAATATACGAAGTGGGGGAAATCTTCAAATGATCTTTCTCCCAACTCCCAAGCGCATTTTTATGTGCTATTCCATAAGATCACCTACTTATTCCACTCAAAGAGGGCTTATGGTCTTAATGGAAGCAATGTGATTTTGTTGTTAAAGTAAACACACTTTGGCTTGTAAATTGTAATGAATGACCATCAATGTAATTAAAGTGATTATGAGCATACTTTTAATCACCAAGATGTTATATTAGAACATAATTATAATTACTAAAAATTATCAAGTCAATTTTTGTCCACCATCATATCTTGACCAAAACATTTTTTTTTCTAAATACAACATTGGCAATATGGGTGCACTAAAATAAAGCTTCTTCTTGTATTACATTCATGAATCACGACAGGTGTAAGGGACACTGGTTTTTTTTGACAGAGGGGGCAACTTCTTAAATCTTAATTAAATGAAGAACTTTTTACACCTTTTATTTTTTAATTACATTCTATTTTTTATTGTATATTGATATGGAAACAAAAGACTATAGAATAGAATCAACCTTATTTGGTAACTTTTTCTGAACCTATTACTTACTCCGTATTAATTTGGATAGTTATTAAATTAAGCAATTGGAACCACAACAATAAATAGCCATCTCTACACATAGACTATGTTTTATATCAATTATTTAATTATTTTTATAACTTTTATTTTTTATTACATTCTATTGAAAAACGAATTATCCGTGTTTTCCCCACGACAATAAATAGCCATCTGTACACATAGACTATGTTTTATATCAATCTAAATTGCTATTAATTTTGTTCTTCAGAGTTATTTTATAAAAATAAAAAAAAAGTAATAATAGTGTTCCATTTCTAAAAAAAAGTAATGTTTATTTTTCTAAACTCAATCTTTTTTTTTAATATCTTCTAAACTAACGATAATGACTAAAATTATAAGCCTTAGATTTGCAATTGTGTTAATACTTTGTATTTTGCTGCATCTTCATACCATTCTTTCTTAGTTGGTTAGACAATGATGGAAATTATAACCAAAAGATTTTTTAACTTAAAAATGAAATTGATATATACTATTCGACGTTCATATATGAAAACATTTAAAACTTCTGATCAAGTAGTTTACTTTTATATTTGCAAGAAAAAAAGTAGTTTACCTTTATTAGGATGGAAATTTATATCATACATATAAATATATATATTTTCACAAGTAATACGTTTAACCTAGCCAAAAACGTAAATATGTTTAGTAGTTTCTTTATTTTTACAACTACAATTTAAATATTTTTTCACTTTTGAAATAGATTCCTAATCTAAATTAGGAAATCTTCATACATTCAGGATGTTTTTAATTGGACCGATTTCAGTCTCATACAAGATCAGATCAAACATCAATCATAATAATAATAATTATTATTATTATTTTACATACATAACATAAACATCTTCCACACTATATTACTTCAGATCAAATTAGAACTGAAAATGTCAATCTAATTAAAACTATCCTTATTAATGACATTTTCAATGTGACGAAATAAATGAGTAAATTGTAAAAATGATCCTTTTTTTTTCAATTTTCAACGTGACAAAATAATGAGTAATATGTAAGACGTCACTAATAGAATTTACAAATACTTATTTCATACAGGGACCGAACATTTATTAGATCATATCAGACCAGATCAAACCAGACCAGCAAATTTCAGTCCAAGTAAAAACATCATTGTTTAGACATGACGGTTAATAAAGTTATTGAAAAAAGTAAAACTTGTGGTTGTGATTTGAGAATAATAATGTGAAATGCTTTAAAACACATACTACATGTTTCTTTTTCAGACTCTTATTTTGGAACAATCCAAAATTGAAAGTAAGACATGTAAAATGAAACGAAGGAAGTAATAAAGTATCAATGTAATATTACAATAACAAAAGTTTTAATGAAACGCATCCTTCAATTTAATTTAATTTGTATAATAACACTTTTTAATTTGTATAATCCTTCAAAAGTAATTTTCATGTTTTGAAAGAGGTCCATTACAATTTAATTTAATTTAATTTAAAACACTTTCAAACACATCTCTTTCAATAAAATAAATTATACAATCATTCAAAACCTTCTCTCCAACTTGAGAACTCTTCATTTACAAATGCATCATTCTCACCAGGGTTTTCAAAGTGATCCCTAAACAAGTACCAAACAAGTACCAATTAGGATACCGATCAAACTATTTGTAGAATTGCAGTTGAAGCATTTTAAGGTTAATTTTCCCATTTTTTTTAATACTCCCTCTATTCCCAAAAATACTTCCCACTTTCTTTTTTGAGTCGTTCCCAAAAAATTCTTCCCACTTTCCCTTTTTGGACAATTTGTGTGGCTCATATTCATTTTACCTTTTTTTCTCACACAACTACAACCACACATTTCCACTTTATTCCACTTTCTTAATAGACGAGTCAAGTCAAACCGGGAAGAATTTTTAGGAACGGAGGTAGTATATTACTAGTAATACATTTTATTTAACCATCTAAAATATGGAGTAACATAAATATTATTTACATTTAAGATTTTTAACTTATTAAATGATACTCCCTATTATAATAAGTTTATCAACCTGATCTAGTATTTATGTTTATATAAAAAATAAAGATTTATGCATGGCCTTAACAGAATTAAACACAAATTACACAAGACAATTAAAAATAAGGTGAACAGAAGAAAAGGATGTGTGGGCCAGTTGGCCGTCTTCTTATATGCTCCTAATTCCTATCCTACGCAACGTGTCTGCTTCTGCACTCATAAGAGTCGCGGTTGAAGGCTATAGGACGATTCTTCTCTAAATTTCTCTAATTTCTATTCAACCATCAAATGGGTTTGGCAGTTTGATCGATTCAATGATTGTAGGGATAAGGGTCAAAAATAACATTGGGGTTTTTAACGAAGTTCATATTGGACACCAACGTTTTAAGTGGACCAAATATACACTAATTTAAACGTTTTGGTTCCTTTTTAGCCACCCATTGACAGCTCCGTTATTTGATTCATTATCCAAATATGCTATCCCCAAGTATACAATAACCCAAATTGAATATGACCTAATTATTGAAGTGTGCGGACATAGGAAGTGGAAACCATAGCAATCAGGCTTCACCATCGCTCTCATCTGAGGAACACTTATAAAAGTTCAGAGCCCCGACTACCCGTCTTCCACAGTAGATAGCTCGTTGGTTTCCCATTCTCAAAGAAATTCCTAAAGAATGATGGAAAGCTTGGAGTTTGAAGACGAAAAACTGTCTATTACAGGTCTAGGATCTCTTCTTAAGCTCATAAGTTTATCGATCATATATCTAATCGACAATTTCTGGCCCTTTTCTTTTAGAAATATAGTTTGTCCCCTGCTTCCCAAAACTGTTAGAGTTAATCTGCACTTGCAGGGGTGATACAGGAGACGCTGAGACAGTGTTCGCTTTTGCACACCTCCTATGGAAGTCGATACGCTATATATGTCAGGATGTTGTGTTTAATTATATTTCTGCATTTCTCTACATAGTTTTGACGGGGCTGGTAATAGCATATGGGTGTAAGGACGATTTCTTATTTTTCCTTTCCGCCTAAATTAAAATGAAACTTATCCTATAATATTTGAAGTGCAAGAACAACCGAATGGAGTGTAGATCGAAGTGCTACAGCTTGGACCTGATCTTTTTGTTCTTTACCCACACGAACATAGTTTTAGAGGGCTGGGTTGTTTAATCAGATGTAAAGGATGTTAATGATAGGAATGGTCATATAACGGAGTTATTAAAGTGGCTGAAATGAACCAAAAAGTTAAAATTTGTGTTTATTTGGTCTACTTAAAACCCTAGTGTCCAATCCGAACTTTATTAAAAATCTCGGTGTCATTTTTTACCCTTTTCTCATGATTGTAAAATCCGGTTGTCATATTTACACAACTTGGAACAGGGGTGGACTTGGGTTATAGGGGGCAACCACTTTCTTCTATTGGGGGCAAATGCTTGAGATTCCAATATTTATTAGAAATCTTAAGAATTTAGGGGGTCTTTATTGGGGGCAGCTGCCCCCCTTAGTCAGTGAGTAGATCCGCGCCGGTGTGTGTTACAACTCATTATTTTAAAAACTTGTATCTCATTCTTGCAAAAAAAAAACTTGTATCTCATGAACTGATAACAAAAAATTGTCTGGTTCCATATCATTACGTAGGTATACTTCATTGTTTCAAGTATAGCCAGTGTAAAATAACATTATCTTGTACATATGCTCTAATTTTATAATTAAATGTGTACATGTGTGGAAATCTTTATATAATATAAAGTAACAGTCATGCCACAACTTTTGGAGGCAAAATTGCCGCCCAAACAAGGGGCATAATTGAAAATTTGAGTTCCTCCCAAAATATACTCTCCTATACGTAACTAAAATGCTGTATATATACTGTAAACTTTAATTGCCCACTTAAATGCTTATTAATTGGCTTTGAAATGTCACATGTAATTGGCATTTACGGAGTATTAATTAATTTAAGATACTATTTTATTATCTTAACATAAATAAAATTGCTTTTGATAATGAGCTTTGAGCCGGTATAAAGCTACGACATAAACAGAATTTTGAGTCAGTATAAATTATAACATGTAAGAATGATATCAGCCATAAATAGCTAGAGCACTGCCGTATAATTTCTCACTGCTATTCACTTAAATTCAACACAAATGTATGTGACAATAAAAGAAAGTAACTAATGGAAATATAATCTTCAAAAGATTTAATCATGAAATAAATAAAATAAATAGTAATTGGAAGTATTAAATTTAATTTTTAATTAATACTCCAAAGTAATGATGCTTACTCCTGATAGTATAATAAATTTATTCTTTGTCATTTTTTATTTTTAAATTTATGTAATAATATAAATTAGTAAGTTTGTAATAATTTTTTACTCCAATATTTGTAAAACGGAATCTACAATTTTATATTGAAATAATAATAACAGTAATAATATCAATCAATGAAAATACAATATATATAATCCCATAAAAAAAGGTTAGAAGACCAAAATAGTCATTCCCACTTGCATTAGGCATGAACGACTAAACTAGCTTCAGTACAACATTTCATGTCGTCGTATTTTAGGTCCGACTATTAAGTATGATGATAAACGCATGTTATCATTTTAGATATCATTAGTTGAAAATTGAAAGAGAACGGGGTAGTTTATATTACGAGTACATTTTATTAAACGACATGCATACTAATTACCAAGTTATA